GCGGTGCCTTCAGGAGTCTTGTATCAGAGGAAAGCTGCTGTGCTGGAAAATGCTCATTGCTCAGTTTTGGCCTCTTTGTTGCCTAAAGTCTCTGAATGACACCTAAAGGGCCAAGGTACTGGGAGTGACGTGTGGCCTGAGAGACCCTCTAGCATCATTCAAGGCCAGTCAAAAAAAAAGAATACCCCTTGGTTATGGGACTTTGCTTGTTATTATCTCTAGTCCATAAATTACGGCAGGTCAGGGACTGTCCAAACAGGACAGTCTCCAGGAGGCTGTGGTCTGTGTGGATGTGGGAGAGAGCTGGGGAGACCCTGCTCCTGGGAGCTAGCAGCCGCTAAGGACTCATGAGGCTCAATATCCAAAGCAGAAGTCAGAGCCAACTGTTTAAAAGACTTACAGGAATTTGCTGGAAGCGGCTTGCTCACACTATTCTGCTTTTGTCTGAAAAGGTCGATGAAACCTTGATTCCTCCAGTTGCAACCAAAGATCCTTCCATTTCTCAGTGCATCTCCAGGCTGTAAAAATAGCATCATCTAATTAAAGATTAGTTCCCCCCTCCTCTTCAGAAAAATTAATACTTCTGACTGAATCAGTGACACACAATAAATATTGAACCTCACACTGCGGGGTTGCCAGCTGTTCTGCAGAAATGAAATTTCATGTGTCAGTCTGTCTGTGACGTTGAAGGTCACCAGAGTTGCATGTGAAGATTAAGGCAGGCAGGTTGAAGTGGAAACCGGTTATTTTACTGAAACTTGAACACAATATTCTAAAGTGATCAATTTTAGTGAGCATACTCTAGTTGCAGGAAAAAAATATTTTTATATAAATTAGCTCTTTTTCTTGTCTATTATCCTCAGCTAACTTCTTGTTTCCCCTTCCAATGTGCTGCAGCAGTTCAGCTTGCGTTGGTCCAAATTGGGCTTCAGCTGCCTTTCTCAAATTAAGAGTTACTCTGCATGGAACCAATGATTTCTAAATTATTTCCTGTGTCTATTGCTAAACAGCTCTAAATCCAGTGCTGTAGGAGAGGATTTCTGGAGCATTCACTTGCTTACTCTGAGGAAACAAAACAGTCATTTTCAACATTTTTTTTCTTTGTAGCTAATGAAAACACATGTAACTTGCTGAGCATCTCAGCTGTGCTCGAATGGTTGAATCAGACCCATTACTTCTTAGCTGGTCACAGGAAGTTAAATTATTTCCCGAGGGCTCACGTTACAAGACAGTGTGAGCGCTGCTCTGAGGTGCTGAATAGCTTTGCTGTACCTGAATTGGCAGGCAAGTTTTTGGGCACATTTGAGGGAAATCCAGATTTAAAAAAAAAACAAAAACAACCCTTTGTAACAAGGGTAAATTCAAATCTGATACTGCCATCCGTTACCAGTGCTATTCAAGGCTTCTCCTTCCCACGGATATTGAACTAAATAAACTTAAAGTCAGAGAGGGCATTGCTTAATCACCAGGCTATGAATAAACTATTCTTCAGCAAAAATCTGCTCAGCTATTATAGGTTTCCATGTCTTTAATAGCCAGCCTAATAGCTGATAGATTCACACTTCTCAAATAAGAGGCAGTTTTACCAATGGCTTTAAATCATTCCCTGTGGAAATAGAGAGTTGCATTAAATCCTAGTAATTAGGCAATTTCAGCTGTCTTCAGTGCTTTTGACTCTGCGGTTGCCTTGAGAGTTGGAATCCCTCTGTGTCCTGCTAAAGTGAACCCTCTCTCTTCTTACACATGCGCATAGACATGCTCACACACCCTTTAACTCTTTGTCTTCCTCCTGAACTCCCATCAGAAATACATTTTTCTGATTTCATTGTTATTTGCAAAACCACTGCAGGAAAAAAAAAAGGTTTATGATCAACAGTGATCGCATTTTTAAATAACCCCATGTGTTAACATCTGTTACAGCACTGGTTTCGTACTATTTGCAAACGTCAAGTGATGTTTCTGTTGACTATTTCAAGGTTATTTTTTCTTTCTGTCGATGAATAACATAAAGAACACGATGATATTTTCGCAGGCTCTCTTTATCACAGTGGCTCTCCTGTGAGCTCCCCTGGCTGGCCATAACTCCTGCTATGAAGCACCTGACACAAATGCATTAGAAACCTTTTCACTGCTCTATCGATCGGCATTACTAAGTGCTGCAAATGCATGTGCATCTGGCTTACATATACTGTGGACAAAGCAGAAATGAAAGCTGCAAACAACATCCATGAATATTGGTTTGATGGTGACTTCAATCTCCTTTGACTATGTTTGTGCTCCCTCTTTACTAGCAATAGCAGGGTGTTTGTAGAAGCAGATTTTTGGTGTTGTGACAGTATATTTTTCACGAGCACCCAGAGCAGAAAGTATTGCACAGCCATCTTGAGCTGGTCCAAAGCCATTCAGAAACAGTGAGACTTTTCTAGTGAAGTTAGTGGGCTTTGGATCAGGCCCAGTAGGCACCAAGGAATCATCTAACAGAAGAGCAGCCCTGAAACTCCATGATTTAGACAGCAACTCACCCAGCACAAATAGTAAATTACAAACATCAGATACTGGCAGCAACAGGCACGAGTAGCCTGTAGTCAGCAGTTCACAGCCTGAAATATGTTGGCATAAACAACGCATCAGATCATTTCAGCTAACCAACACATTTGTGAAAATCCAAGCCTGTTTATGGATAATTTTCAAAAAGGTAAGTTCAGCAAGAAAAATACTAGCAAGAAAAAGAACCTGTCCCTTTTTTGCTTACTAATCATTTAGAAATGTTTTTTGGGTACGAGCTGTCCTTGTGAGGCACTGGATGACCTCAGGTAGGACCTGATATGGGTGCTGGGCAGCCCAGCTTAGCCCTTATTCTGCTTTGGTTTCACTGTGATTTTCCTCTTGGGCTCCATTTGCACGTACCTTTGCTGATGAGACTGAGTCATTTGGAGCAGCAGGGATGAGAGCTGCCTGCAGCAGGTTTGAAAAGGATCTTGCAGCCCTGAGTGAGCTGGCAAGAAAACAGAAGGTGCAATTTAGAGTAGGTAAATGTTACATAGATAGAGAGGAAAGAAAAATCCCAAATTCACATGTGTAGGAAAAAATCTCTGCAGTGACCCTTACCACTCTGAAAAGTTTTGGCTTGACCACAAATATTTCTATGCAAAGTTCTGTGCAGTGTTCTGTAGTGGTGACAAGAGAAAACTGAAGGCTGGGAATGACTGGGAATGGTGATTGTAACTCCTCACCTGCTAGCCACAGCACCCCTTGCTCTGTGCTTTCGTATGGCAAAGGCAGCTGCCATGAATCCCTGGCCACGGGCCCTTGGGGTGTGGCAGTGGAGCTGCTGTCAGCCTCGTGTGTGCAGTAGCAGATTAGCAGGGAGGGTTGGTGGGAGACCAGCAACACCCAAAGCCTGTCAGGATGGAGACACAGGAGCAGGTAGTGTAGGTAGGCTGAAAAGCAAGGTGTGGCACTTTTGGGTTGCTTTTTCCCTATGCTACCAGATTTCCCCTTGTAAAAGGAGGAGAGTGCCATTCCCACCCTAAAGGCGGCTCAGGGAAGAGAAGTTGCTTGCAAGTCATTGTAGCACCAAGCGATGCAAAAATACGGGTGAGGGAAATGGTCATTCTGCCTCTGTGCAGGGCTTGGGTTGTGCGTGTCAAATCCAGCGAGGTTGTGCCTTAAAATAAAGCCTGCAGCTACACATTGAACAGTGTTAAGGGGGGAAAAAAAATTGCTTCAGGGCTCACTAAATGAGCTGCACGTGCCTAATGCATGGAGGGATGTGGGAAAAAAGAAGTTGTGATGGTATTTGGAGATGGTATCATTACGTATGTGCAAGGAGAAAGGAAATAACCAAACACAAGTAGCTTTCACACTGACATATCCCAGCTTCTGGCTTTGCAGAATGCAGCAACATCCCTTTAATATTATTACGTTTGCGCTGGTAGCCCAGAAGTGTGCAGCAGGTCAGGAGCCTCACATCCCTTGCAGGGTGATGAGCAGAAGTCAGAGCCGGCCGGCCTCTGCGATGCGGCATGCATCAGTGCTGAAGCAGTTAACAGACTACTGCCCTCCTATAGGCGTGAGCTCCTACAGACATTAGCTTTGTTCCTCTACATCCTCATTCCCTCAGCTGCTATGAAAATTTGTCTCCCCACCTCTCGCCTCCCTCATGGGGGATCTCGCTTTTCCCCTCGTCGAGCTGTGTTTTATATTAACGCTGCAAATAGAGAGTGGCTATTGTTTGTAATTTAATTAGCGTCGTCCCCAGGAACTTGCAGCGTGACAGAGGGAATTAGAGGCAGTGTATGAAAATGATGCATGGGCGTGGGTAGAGGTTTAACCACTTTCATGCCGGCACGCTTCGTAGATGTTGCACACAGGATACAGCTTTCTGGGCATGTGGAAATAACTAAATGAGGATGTTTAGTCTCTGCTCTGGCGTGTCACAAATTTAGAGTGGCTACTCTTAAAAGAGAAAATGAAATCTAAAGCTGCCTACCAACTTTCCGTTTCAGTTTCTGTGCAGCAGAGTTTTTTTCTTAATGAAAAGTTTCCTTAGGGTGAAACTCCTCAATTTCACTGTATTTAAAAAAAAAAAAAATATCTTTTTGCTCAGGATTGTTTTTGTATTGGAAATTAGATTTTTTTTTAAAGGATGGTGAGCCCCTGAGTCAGATTGTGAGGGAGGCTGTGGGATTGCCATCACTGGAGATTTTAATGCACAAGCTGGGCGAAGGTTGGCTGGGAACTCTTAGCAGCTATCAGGATCCTTATAGCTATTTTAAGATGCAACAGCAGCTGGAAGCCTTGTCTGACAGATGTGCAACTATGTTGGCCAAAGGCATAGTAAGAGACAGCCCCAAAGAGCTTGCAAGCAAAGCCAAGCCTGGTGCACAAACCAAATCTAAAATCAGTGGGGAGTAAGTACGGCTTTGCAGAGAGAGTGATGCATGCAGGCACTTGTCTCTTCACTGCACATTGTTTTTGTGTCTTTGCTTTAGGTGTCACAGCCTCATCGCACCTCTTTGACTATGGCTCCACCGCCAACGGGGGCGACAGCTCCTTCTACACCTCTCTGATCTCGGATGTCCACTACACCACCCCACGGGACTCCACCTATTTCACGGGCATTTATCGGCAGGAAAACAGCCCCATTCCCTGCTCCGGCAGCACAGAGGGGTTTAACACGCTGGGGCATCCTGTTCAAGATGTGACTGGATTTGAGTCCCGTGGCTTGTTTAGCTCAGATTCAGGAATAGAGATGACTCCTGCAGAGTCTACTGAGGTTGATAAAACCCTAGCAGATCCCATGAAAGTAGAAGCTTATAAATACATGGACATAAGTAGATCAGAAGAAATAAAATACCAAGAAAAGTATGACCCTGACTCAGAAGATGAGAGCCCAGGCCTTATTGATAAGTACCAGGGAATGCCCACCAGGTCCAGCCCTACCGCTGAACCTCAGCGGATGGTTTCAGAGAGCACGAAGGCAGCCAAAGAGCAAGACCCACTTGAAGACGCAAAGTCTGGAGACCAGCACAGTGCCTCTGTGGTTACAGCCCCCGTCAAGATCACACTCACGGAGACAGAAAGCGCTGGGGAAGATGCCAGCAAAGAGACGAGCCCGACCCAGGCGGAGACTGGCCTGAAGCCGAGCCGTGAGGTGGTACCAATGGTGACAGTGTCAGAGCCAGAAGATGACAGCCCAGGGTCTGTCACGCCACCGTCCTCTGGCACAGGTAACGCTGGTGCATGGCGTCGGGTTTGGTTTTTTTTGTATTCCAACAGTGATTGCAATTGTAGCCCTGCAGGTTGGAGAATTAGTAGGGGTTTGTGGGGTGGGTCTAAAGGGGTGTGAGAAGACATTAAAAGGTCTCCATGGCTAGAGGTGTTTCTGCTCTGCTTGGGTGCCACTTTGCATTGTGGAACCGAAGGGGGATGTGAAACGTGCTGCCCACCTCTAACACACTACTCAGGGTGGGCTGCCCTTTCTGTATGAAAAGAAGGGAAGACAAGGCTGGGGATCCACAGAAAAAAGTTGCTGAGAGCTGCTCAGGAGCACAGCTGGGGTCAGGTCCAGGCTCGCTGAGCCTGGTCCCCACGGGGATCTCTCCTCGAGGGGGAGTTGTGAGCTGACGGGTGTCGTTGGGGGGTATCGTCAGCCAGGCGATAGTTTGAGCTGGATCCTGTGATTTTGGGGTCTCTTGGTCACCCTGGACATGCTCCCCTGAGAAAATAAGGTGTGTGGGACCAGGATGCTGCAAATGTCTGGGTTCATTTTTTTAAATTTTAATGGCTGTTTCAACACCTCTTTGCTCTTGCAGAGAGTAATGTTAAATTGTTAAAAATAAGTGCTGTTTCCAAGTGAAAGTGCTGCTTTTAGAAAGTGCTGAGGAGGGAAATGCTGTCACCTCATTTACAAACGGGACTGGAGGGACAAAGGGCCAGTCTCTTTTAAAGGTTCCTGATTTCGATTGTGGGGGCACCAAAATCCCATGTTTATACATTTTCTTATTATCTGATTACTGCAGTAGTACGTAATATGTATTGCTCATTTCCCCTGTTATACACTGCTAAAACATGAAACTAGCATAGTGTTTCAAAAAGGAATAAATTTCTATGACAGGAAACAGAATTTTCAGACTTGAATTTAAATTTCAGTGTCATGGATCAAAACCCTTTGACAATGAAGATTTGACATTTGACAATGAACATCCCTATGCTGAAATTTCCATTGCTTTGTTGGCATCTAGAAGCATTTAAAAATCAACTGGAACTTCCTTAAAATGGTAGTCTGGGATTTCCACCCACACTAATACCTACTGTTAGAGAAAGGCCTAGTTCCTGTCCAAAACTGAGTGTGCATTTGTACACTTTCACACACACAGGAAAAAGAGAAAGAGTCTACTGCAGCTGTGAGTTTGTCCTGCCTGCATCTTTCTTCTTTTATTTGACTGTGTGACATCACACGCTGCTTCTGAGACATGCTGGGTTTTATGAATTTACACTTTTTGCACTACAAGGCCATTAAGAACTTCAGGCACTAGATGTTATTTATTCAGTTTTTGGCAGTTGTTTGCGGCTGCCTTTGTGACACTCGATAACCATATCCCATCAAAACAGCTGAACGGCTGAGCCTCGGGGCTGCTGTCTTACTGGGAGGCATTGGTGTGGCTGGTGTAATTGCTGGCACGGATATCTTCCTCTCCATGGGCAAAGCTGATCCCTAGCATTGTCCCAACAGCCCTGGGAGATCCCACCACCTTGAATCGGGATGTTGGAAAGACAGAAACACTATTTATCTATCATGTTGAGGAAAGAAGCAGGCATCTTCATTTAGGGGCTGGCTCCCACCGGGTGTTTTCTCTGGATTTCCCCGTTTTCATGCAGCTGGGGACATGCTGCGCCCAGACTCCGCATTCGTAAGCGAGGAAGAAATGTAAAACCTGCCCTTGCTATTTCTACGCAGTGACCCAGCAAAGTCGTTGCTCCTAGATACCCCTCAAGCATTCTGGTGAGGCCCCCAGTTCCCCCCCTGCTTGGATCAAGACTTCTGAAAATGGTTTGCTTTTAATTACCGGCCATCATCTTTCTGGGGAAGGAAGACATAGTCTGTTCATAGTCTGCGCTGGCGCTGAAAGGCAGCGGGTATTTATACACTTCCCCACGCCAGCGGTAAATGTGACACCCTGCTGCTGGCCACAAAGGACTTTTTTGTTCGCAAGGTAAATGCCGTGGCTGAGAGTTACAAACTGCCAGCGCGGGCAGGAGAAGGGTGAAGCCGAGGGACGGCGCGTTGCTGCGCTACGAGGGCTGGCCCTCGCATGCCTGTTTGGACGCGTGCCGGATTAAGTCATCGCTCGGGGAGAAAAACCTCACATGCGGTAAGGCAGGAGTGGCGCAGCTCACGCGGGCTTCCTGCTGCTGGAGGGAAAGGGTGCACAGGCTCCTGCTCAGCGTGGCCGATGCAACAGAGCCTTCTCAGCATCCGGACAGGAGCGTGTCAAAACAGTCCCAAACACCTTGGTCCTGTCTGCAGCCATGCTCTGGGTGGCAGAAGGACTTTCTCATGTGAGAGGGATGTGTTACGAGAGAGCTGTTTTGTCAGAGGAGGTGAAGACATGTCAACAATACGTGCTCAAAATTAACAATGATGTGTATTGGCAGATGCACAAACCGAAATTGCTTGGAGGGGTGTGGGGAAGTTGTTTTTCTTGCCCGTCTCCCAGCAGGATGCCACGGCTCAGGTGCTGTCGTTAAAACCTTGCCCTTTACCTACTGCATCTTGGGGAAGGCATATGATGAGGAAGAAATCAGCTATGCTATTGCCATGAGAAATGAAGTTAGGAAATATCCAGAAATAGTGATTTTGTCCCAGGTCACAGCTGATACAATCTCTTTGCCACACTCTGCTGTAGAGGAGCTTCCAGAGTTGGCCCGCACAGCTGAGTGGGCTCAGGGGGCCAATGCCAGTGCTGCACTCAAAGCAGGACGGGGCTGAAGGCAAATACCCACCAGGAGTGGGCACAGGTCAGCCCAGGGCTGCTCACACCTGCAACCGAGGGGCTGGAAACCTCTCCCCACTCCACTGTGGTCCCCAGAAGTGCAGACCCAGGTGATGTCCTGCCATGGGTCTCTCTACTAATATCAGCAGGAGAAAACTCGCAGGACTCTTCTCCTGATGGCTTTCTTGAACCCTCACTGCCTGCAATGCCACTTAGTGACCCCTGTCACGTTAATACAAAGTCAGTGAATGAGCACTCAAGAGTCCAGAAGACAAATTTCTTTGTGTGCTTGATGGCTGTTCCAACATGACTGGAGCATTCAGCCTTTTTTTGTCCCAAAAGGGAGAGTCTTGCATGTGGATGGCAGCTATCCCTGGGCCAGCGAATTGCAAGGTGGAAACCGGCAATCAGGAGGTGAGGTGGCCAGGCTCCGGCAGGGGATTGGGTGCAAACTGCCACCATGGTCGCCCTTGGCACAGACAGGCTCAGGTAGCCCGGCTGGCCTTGCTGCTGATGCAGCAGGTGCAGTCTGGGTTTGAGGCTGGCCGATGCTCTCTGAATGATCAAGTGATGCCTGTTCCTCACACAGTAACTCAAGACAGCTGCTGATGCACCTCCTGCTGCCTTTGTCACCTCTTATTGTGAACACTTTACATGCAATTTTACTTTCTTTGTTATTTCATTACAAAATCCCACACAGTAAAGTGATATACAGGGAGGTAGAACAGGTGGGAAGTCTGGTGCTGGGTTCCCTTCTAGTACAGGATGTGGGCTCCTTGCTAATCTTGGGTGACCAGCCAGCTGTTTCAACTCTCATGTTCACTCTCTGAGTATATCCCCTTCCAGTGTGAGCCAGAAAATGCAAAGAAATTCTTTTGTTTCAAATTTTGGTTGACAAGTTGGTCAGTCATTATTTTGGTTAATGTAGCTCTTAATGATATTAAGAATTAGAGTAAAAAAAATAGTTTAATTCTTGGACGCAACTGAGATAAAAGCAAGCAGGGAATTCACCACCCCCACCCACCAAAAAAAAAAAAAAAATCTGGCACAAGTTTCTGACCTGCAACTTTCCACACCTGAAAGTTAAAGTTTGACAAAACTACTAGCAGCTACACACGGGTTGTTACAATCAGCAGTGTCAGCAACCTGCCAGCCCTGCGTGCGTGTTTATCACCAGAACATACCCATATCCATCAGTGACAGTCAGATGCTGTAATGTGTGGCCTGAGCCCACCACGTTCCTCATGACTAGTGATTTTTCTGGTGAAAACTATATTGCTGAGCCACCGGCCAAGCACTGACCAGCACTGCCTTGTGCCTCAGCTTTTTCTCAGTAAGTTATGCTGGTGACACTACTTTTATAATGAGTATGTACATGGGAAATTCTCTGTAAGGACAAGCTGTTATTACTGTTAGTCATCTCAGACGGGAAAACTTTTCTGCCTGTGTACCAGCCCTGCTAGAGGGATCTGTGCTGGTGTGAAATCTATTGCGTTTGTTGCCTAAGCAGCCAGAAAAAATCTCATTTTTAACAATTTTGTTTGTTTGTTTGTTTTTTTCTCCTTTTCTTTCTGGGTAGCAGAACCGTCCGGATCAGAGTCACAGGGTAAAGGCAGCCTCTCAGAGGATGAACTCATCAGTGCCATCAAGGAAGCAAAAAGCTTTTCCTTTGAGACTCCAGAGGTGCAGCGGTCACCAGCCCTTTCCACTGAGAAGAGAGATCAGCGGGTCAAACCTGGGCGCCCCGCCGTCTCCTCACCCCTGGATAACGAAGCCAGCAGCGCCGAGTCGGGAGACTCAGAGATCGAGCTGGTCTCGGAGGACCCACTGGCTGCCGAGGAGGTGCTGCACTCCAACTACATGACCTTCAGCCACATTGGAGGGCCCCCTCCGTCACCCGCCTCCCCCTCCATCCAGTACAGCATCCTGCGGGAGGAGCGGGAGGCCGAGCTTGACAGCGAGCTCATCATTGAGTCCTGCGACGCCTCATCGGCCTCTGAAGAGAGTCCAAAGAGGGAGCAGGACTCCCCTCTGATGAAGCCCATGGTCATGGACATTATCAAGGAAGAGAACAGCTCGCGCACTGATGCCTCAGACTATGAAGCAAGTAAAACGACAGAGAGCAGGATGAACAGGGAAAACCTGGCAGAGTCCGCGTCCCACCTGAAATGCTCCTTTGTTCCACCAAAAGTAGGTGCTGAGCCCCCGACCTCCGCTGTCAGCACTGAGGAGCTGAAGGAAAGAATAATTCTGAAGAAACCCATTGAAGAAACTGTTGTTAACCAAAGTAAAGTGTCTTCCAAGGACTCTGGCAAAAGAAGTCCCTTGGCTTCGCCCCTACTGCCATTTTTAAATAGGCAGAAAGGTAAATGCAGTTGTTTATCTTGTGTTTTTCAGTGCTGCTGAGAAGGGGGAGGAGGGAGAAGTGTCTGTTCCTTGCAGGGGAGATGTTAGTGCCGAGCAGGGGGAGCTGCTGGCACTGGATAACCTCAGCTTGAAGCTGGGCATGCCTGTGACAATGCACACATCATCTCTGGCCTTCCCATCCTCTTTCTTTCCCTCCTTTTCCTTTCCTTTAGGAAAAAATAAAAATACCAGCAACAACAAATTTTAGGCTTAAGCATACAGATACTCTATCAAGCAGGAACCCCAGCAACATAAGGCTGATTCATACATCAGGCATCTTGCTGACAAAGAGCAACAAATGATCATTTTTCCTTCGAAATACTACATACCTTGCCCCAGGGAAGGGGTACAATCAGGGAGGTGGTCCTGCCCCTCCCAGAAATGTGAGGCTAATGTTTTTGAGAATACATTTAGAAAAGCAAGAAAGATTTGGAGAAGGAGAAGGGTGAGGTTTGGTGAGTCTGGGTGTTTCTGAAGCTGGTGCAGCTTAAGCAAATCTCTTTTACGGTGGCAAACACCCTCCACCCTGAATAATGAGGGGTTTGTGTATGCTTCCAGGCTAGTGCAGGGAGGTGGGTGGCTTGGGAGTGCTTATCCCAGCTCTGCATGCCGTGGGGGACATTCTGTGTGCCCCTCTGAAAACCCTTTCCCTGATCCAGCTCTGGGAGGGGGAAGGGCAGGACACTTCCCTGGTACTCAGGTGAGCTCAAGGGCACTTCTCTCCCAGTAGGATACCTTCAAAGCCAGTGTAGAGCCGGTCAGGTCCAGGCTTGTTGTGCCAGGCACTGAGGTCTGACTGGACCCATCAAACCTCTAGAGCCACCGCCAGGTTTTGGTCTGAGCTAAACCCTGAGGACGAAGGGGTAGCACACGGTCACTGCAGACTGACACTGCCAGAGGTCCCTGCAGCCTGTATCTGGCTTAGTTCCCGAGGGGCACAAGAGAAAAAAGGCATTTTATTCTTTCCAAGATGCCAGCTTTAAATAGCCAGGACCTTTGTGTGCCTCTGGCTTTGCAGGCTGGCGTGGGAGGGAGGGATGCTGGGGCTGCCCCACACCTGCCCTGCTCCCCCTTCTGACATCTCCCCCGGCTGGGCTGGGGGGCAGCAGCTGTCCACAGCTCTTCTGCCGGATGGCGTTTTGTGATTCAGAGAGCCGCTGCTTCCTTGCAAACAGCTGGATAGAGATGGGGACGGGGGGTGGGGGGCGAACCCCAGCCCTGCTGCTTAGAGAGCATCTTTTTCCTCTGTCTGCTTTGTGCGGACGTTTGGCCACATGATGGCCTGGAGATGTGGCAGACACGTTTAAGTGGCACACTTTTACAACTGATTTATCTGGTGCTGTGAACCCAAGCGTGCAAATCTAGTAAGGAAACAGCCTGAACTTCCACGATGTGCTGAGGATTGCAAGATCTGGAGTGCAATAAAATATGTTAATACTGATATTCTTAGCGGTAATGAACTAATGACATTAATAGGCTGAGTAAGAAACATATGATTATTGCTTGAAAGTATGTTTTCCTGCCAGATTCTCAGAGCTTGCAATGTCATGCTGTGCATCTCTTAGCTCCCACATGAGTAGGATGAGCTCCGAACTTTTCTTTGCCCCTTCCCAAACTCCCCTTTTGTAGGACTGGCCCAGGCCCTGCCCAAACCCTAGAAAGCTGTAGGGCTGATTGAATTTACCTTGCACACCATTTCTGCAGTTTCTAGCATTGGGCCTCTGCAACCATGTTGTGTTCTGCCTGTTGTTGTGGGCAGACAACTAATAATTTGGTCTTGGGCAAAGTCGTTGGGGAATAACACATGAGCAGCTAGTTGCCTGTCCCTCGATTTTGAGATTTCAGGCCTTATTACAAATTTCAGTCCCCCTTGATTGTATTCAGATTTTTTTGGCCCAGCTTCTGTGTCTCATTTAATTTCTGTCATTGACTAAACTGGTGCTAACAGAGGCTTGTTCTCATATGGTGGCCAGAGAAAATCCCTGTGTGGGTGAGCAGCCTTTCTTCCTGCGTCGCAGCATGTCTGTGCTTCCCGTGGGTGTTCCTGTAGGACAATAGTGGCACGAACTTTTCCTCGAGGACAGACACAAGACAGCTAATTACTGTTTGGCAGTGCGTATATTTCAGTATCTGCTTTTCTCCCTTGAGACACTCCTGTGCCTAAAGCAAGGAAAACAAAAACGTAAAGACTCTCAAGATTATCGCTAAAACTTATGGAACTTTTTAAAGCTGATTTCAAGGTATGGGGTGGTGAGATCAAGATAAGAAAATATGGATAATAGTGGGGTCCAGTTTATGCTGCCTTTCAGTCACAGGTGTGTGCTGCATGGGTTGCTGGGTCTAGGTGCTAGTGAAATTTTTGTGTTGAAGATAGAGTATGGGGCTCTCTTTCTGACCCGTGAAAGGGGAGCTTGTCCCTCACTCAGAGATGTCACATGAAATCCCTCAGTGTTTTCTCAGTTATCAGAGGTGAGCTAGGGGGTGCGTTAACTGGCTTGGTGGAACCAGAGCATCCCCCATGGGTCCTCCCAGGCTCCATCAGCCTGGAGCAGCATTGACTGGCAGGGACATGATGTGGCAGAGCACATCCGAGGGGACTGCTTTCACAGCATCAACTCGAGGTCTTGGCAGAGCTTTACATCACGGCATCATCTCTGCATTTTATGCCAACTCAGATGCACCGAGCAGGGGCGGGCCACACTCAGCCAAAGCAATGAGAATGGAGGGAGATGTGGCAGTGCTGCACAATGAAGGTGCAGCAGAACGATGTCACCCAAAACAAGAACAGTATCATCATTTATTATTTCAGATTATTACCTTAATTATAGTTATCTATCATTAAGAGAATACTGTCAAGTTGTGACTGTGTACTTGTTAAAAGACAGGAAACAGAAAAACCTTCTTTTTTTTCCTGTTACCTTCTTGTTACACATCACCTCAGAAGTGTTACACTATCACTGCACATCCTTATTAACACAGAGTGGTTCTAGTGATGTTCACAGAGTCCAGGTGGGGACTGATCCCCCTATAGCCATAGCAAGTCCCACCTGAGTTCAGATTAGTGCTAGCCTGGCATTTCTGGAGATCCATAGGAAACTGATGGATCAAATAAAGATGTTCAACACACCTGGCTGTGTTTTTGACACTCAGCTGTAGATCTTTCCGTGGCCCTTGGCCAGTCGTAGACAGGTATATGTAATTTAAAAATGGTCAGCCATCAGTTTCACATATAAGCGTTAACTATTTCACAGCACGATACTGTGATACCACTAAAGGAGTCTTTTACCTGTATCCATGACATTAAATATACTTTGCATGGCTCATCAGAAGGGTTTGCCCTGGGCTGGCGGGACAAAATTTGATTTTGAGCGCAGACTCCAGGAAATACATGGAGAAACTATACAAAGTGAAAGGCCAGCGCTCAAGCCAACCCCAGGAACAGTCTTGCTGATCATGTTGCTGCCAGCCTGCTGTTTAGTCCCTCAGAGACCTTTCTGGTGTGCCTGCTCAGCGTGCTGAAATCATGGCTGTTCCCTTAAATTACAAGGTGGAGCACAGCAAGTGCATGTGTGGTTTGCGCAGTGATAACATCTCTGCTTAATGTCTGTTGCCATCCAGTGGCAATAACAAAAATGGGCAGTGACTTCCTACCTCCATTTTACTGGGGCTGACTGTCACGATTTGGAAGACTGGAGCTATTCCTGTACCGTTAACTTCTGAGCAGCCTTCCTTGCTTTTCTCCACGATCAGAAGGATCGCATCGCTTGCTGCAGTACAGGCTTTGTTTTGGCTAGAGTTGTGCTGTTGCTACCTATGTTAGCGTTGCCAACTCCTTTGCCTCCTGCAGAGCAAAGAGGGGAAGGCAGAGCTGTAGCAAGACATTTGCTCTTTGGCTGTCACTACCCCCGTGTCACTCCTGGCCTCTCCTCCCAGAGGTGGACACAGCCCTTACACAACAGGGCTTAGAGCGCGTCTGGCTGTGACTCTGCAGGAAAGGAGGTTGCCAGCTCAGTTTCTTCCTTTTTCTTTCTTTTTTTTTTTTTTTTCCTTTTAAATATTCAGTGACAGAGAAGGAAGACCAGATGCATTTGTGTTTTCCAGTAGCCAGAGCAAGGAATGCAGATTTTTAGGTGTGTTCTAAGAAAACCCTGTCTTGCAACAGATTTTCACAAACTTTGGAAAAATAATACAACTGATTGGTGTGGCTTCCACAGCGCTGTGATATTGCATAGCCCAGGTGACATCCATGCTGGGCTTGCATATGGCCTGGGCGTGCAGGAAATTTCAGAAAAGACCTGCTGTTCTGGAAACGTGCGTCTTTTGGCCTGGGATAGTTTGCGAGAAGCCCGAAAGAAGCCTGAACCAAGGCAGGCTGGGAATGAGCATTTTGGCTGAGTCCTTTCCTGTCTTTTCTTGCCGTGCCTGTCGGTAGTTCTCTGCCAGGGTGGTTTGGCTTACCACGTGCTGGTGTCCCACAGCCTGGGGACCTGGTCCTGAGTGGAGATTTCCCTCATGCTGGGGCATCATGTGTCTCTCCAGCCGCTCCTTCAATGATAACATTTATTAGGAGATTCCTTCTGCTTGATCCATTCAGTGAAACATGCAGCAGCTTGTTACCTTTCAGGTCAAAAAAAAAAAAAAAAAAAAAAAAGATGTGGACATTCATAGTAACGTTTACTTTCATTTTCCTTTTATTTTATGGCAAAATTTAGCATAGGAAAAGGAAAATCCAGGTCTGAGGCTGTGGGGCCGCGCTGTTACTCATATGTTAGATGGCATAGCTGGCAGGACCCAGGCTCCAGGTAGGGTCTTGCTGGAAACACAGGTTTCATTTAAATTAATTTAAAATGCTTTATTCTGCAGCACAGTCCTATGCCACACTGCTATGATGCATCCTGATCTTTATGCCTTATGAAAGGCTTTTGTTGCATTAATCTGATTAGTTCCATACAAGAGCGT